TTAAAAAAAGAAGGCAAATGCCTTACAAGATTGCTTTGTAAAATTAAAAATACAAATCTGTAGTTAAGTCACAACTTGTCTAATAAGCCATAAAAGAAGGAGGCTGAAGTGTAATTTCAGTGTGGCTTTTGGAAGGGAAGGGGTGTAGGAGAAGGATTTAGAATCTTCCAAAATATGCTATTTAGGTTAGAGTGGTTTTGTCTTTGCCATTCTCCTCCCCATCCCCCAAGCCCCCTTTTTTTAAAAAAAAAAAAATATCTTATTTTACTGGCAACTGATTTGCTTTTTGCAAATTGTATTTGTAGGAGCAGGAGAGTGTTAATTACAAGTTCAGGTACAAGCCTCATGCCGCAGTGTGTATTCTTATCAGATAGCTGGTTAAGTGGAAAAGCAAAGCAGTTGGTTTGGGTGGCTGCAGAACTGGCATGTGATGGTACTAAAACTGCAGTAACACCTGGTGAATGTGCATCCTGTGTGCTCGAGATATCTTTTGGTGTTTCTCAGCATTGCAGAGGTACTGAAGACAGGAGATGGAGACAGCTGTTTGTCTTCTAACGTGTGGGTTTTTTCTTACTCTTTGGTTAGCAAGACTAGTTTTGGGGTGGCAAACCTTTCTCGTCTGTTTGATGGGAACGTGGGAACAGGGCAGGTGACTCAAGAAGAATAATTTCTCTGTGTTGGAAATTCATTCAGAAAATCATTTTGTCTTTGTTTGTCCCTAATTCGCCATGAAGTAAATTTCCTATGGAAAGAGAGGATTTCTGCAACCTCCCTTTTGTCTGTTCTTATGAATTCTCGGGGTCTATGTTTATTTCTTCATGTCTCAACTGTCTCTTTGTAGCAACTTGGGTGTATTAAATAGGTCGGAGGATACAATCTTACAGCAACTTGCAAAACACAACATAGCTGTTTGAGAATGAGGAATTCTGCTAAGAGAGTTCGAATGCTAAGAACAACACAGGACCCCCCAACCCAGAGTTTGTTTATTACTTGTGTGCTTCTTCATGGCAGGGGGTAGGGAGTTAGTTTCTGTCTTGAAGAGCTAATGTCACAGGAGAAACTGTGAGGATAATAGGGACAGAAGGAAGGATGAGCTTGTTTCCCTAGCTGCATCTTGCCATCCCTCTGAAAGCAGGCTGATTCACTTGTTTGTGGGGAATTTTTGGGACCCCAAAAGGAATGCATGGAAGCTGCAGAAGGACACAAACCTGATTTTTCATTATAGTGTCTTTCCCTGAGAGTTTGCTTCTGCTGACTATGCAATTGTAGGGACTTGCTGGGAGCTGCGGTCAGCTGAAACCTCCCTGGCCCAATATGAAATAGGCTTTTACAGCACAGATGTTTGGGCTCAGCTTCTGCTCCCATATCACCCATCAGAAACCTCTGTACTAATTCTCAAGTCAGTATCTGAGCAGGATGTTTGGAGGGGCTTAGTCAGCTGTGCTCTTGATGCAAATCTCCTTTTTTTCCCTGCTGCAACCCCAGACCCATGCCCAAGGAAATGAGTTGCATGGGCAGCGGAGGGACTTGACAAGTCAGAGCTGCTCATCCAGCACTGAGGCTCTGCAGCTTCACCCTGCACAGTGCACGTCTTCTCAATGAAGTTGAATGATGCCAATTAGCTCCTTAAATAACTTCAAAATCAGGCACTGAGGAGCATAAAGCTTCCTGACTATGGAAGCAGAATTTGCTGGGGTTTATTTGAGTTTGCCCAGGGAGGAATTTTAGCACTGTTTTCTGAGGAACTCAGCAAGTCACGCTAAACGCCTGCACTGGGGAAGAATAGGAATCTGCTCAGTGCTAAGAGAGGGACCTCACTGCTGCAAACATATCTCTCTGAGCAACTCTGACTAAAGTATCACAGCTGATAAGACTAAGATATGAGTCAGGTCTATGTGAAACACAAATTCAAGCTGTGAATGGTCATGGGCTGAGTTTTGGTGGTGCTTTCTTTCTCCCCCTTAATGAAATGAATCCTCCATTTGTAAAAGCGGGCAGTAGAAGTTACTGCAGTGCCTCTAGGCTGTCGTTGTCTGAAGCTTGATCTGGTTGCTCATGATAAGACAGCATGATTCAGGCACAGTCTTAGGTATGTATGGTATGTTGGTACCATTGGCACATACTAGTGAAGAAAACACCATTTCTGCTTTCACTGCCTTCTCCTTGTCAGGCTGATGCAATTAGCAAATCTACCTAATTATGAATGGGCAAGGGAGAAAGAAAATGTTCTCCTGATATCTCAGTGCAGAGGCAGCAATTGCATGTGTGTGGCTTCAGCAGAGGCATTATCAAAAGCCCCACCCATTACAAATCATCAAAGTTGGAGCTTTTGTACAGCGATATGTGTGTATGCTTATGTCCTAAATATCTTTTTTTCTATATATCTAGGAGCTAATTCAATATAAACTGTAAATAGCTGCTGCTTACTTTTTAAAGTGGTTTAAAAGCAAAATGTCATTCCTGTCTCTTCTCCAACTTAATCCCAGCCCAGAAAAAAACATTAATAAGAATAGCTTGTTATGGGCTGCAAGTGCCAAGAAGGATATGGCTCAAGAA